CTGGTCCGTCAAAACTACGTTGCTCGGGCACAAGGGAGTTGCTCGCTTCCAGTCATAGGCTCCTACTTCAGGATATTCCCGTTAACAGGCAAGTATAGATAAATTCTTTAGGCGTCTCCTTAGAGAATTCCTTTAGCCTTTGGCCAAAAGTAAAAGGCTCTGGATTCTTTCTCTCGTGATCTAACTAGCCTATGCAGACGTGTAAAGTTTCGTTTCACGTTCCTCCCTTTTACGTGGAATCATGGGAGTTATTCGGTAGCCTGCGCGCGCGCAATGCAAAGTTTTCTAGAGGGCGCACAAAACTAGATTCGCTGGAGTTGTCACGACAGAATCGCAGGAGATAAACGAGGGCCATTGTATGGATGGAGCCTTCTACACTTCTTCGTAGATCACTCTGTAAATACTACAGCTGAGGGTGGGGGCTCCATCAACCCTTCCCCCTTGTACCACGGTGGGGGGAATGTCTCTGCGTGTATGTCCGAGGGTTATTACGAAAAAAAAAACAAGGCTGCATTAAACCTGAAGGGTAAACTCGGACGTTACAAGGGATAGGGTGTACTATGCTTTTGTTTTGCGCTAGTTATTTCAGACAATTCGAGGCCATTTGATTTATCGAAGTTACCCTAGCAGGAGCCGATTACTTAGGTAATCGACTCCTGACCCTAGTCACAGTAGTCAGCATCATCAGGCATCGCGTCACCATGGTCTGTTTTCCCCCGGAGGGGTACTTCCTCATAAGAGGCTAATGGGGATGTGCCGCTGGATGGGGTCGCATTTTCACGACTGGATTGACTATAATGGGGTTAAATTTTCATTAGAGTTACTAGAATGTGATCGCACATTTTCGGGATTTGGGAGAACAGAAAATTGAGTACGTATGAATCCAAAAATGGGAAGATTTTTACTTCATTAAGTTTAACCAACGTGTGAATTTATTTCAGAATGACCTGTAGTTAAAAGGCTTTACAAGGTGGATGCATAAACAACAGTCTCTAAGCTGGGATCACGAAAATTTCATTTCACCAAAAGTGACTAAGATGGGGTCCATATTTGGCCACAGGATAGACTATAATAGGTTAGGGGCTCTGAGAGGCCAGTGGCACACACCGAGCAAAAATTATCCCAAGAACCCCCCCCCCCCCCCCCCCCCCTTTTTTCTTTTCTTTCTTCTTTTTTTTTTTTGTTGTGCCCCAACACCTTTTCCGCTCCCCCCCCCCCCCCCCATTTTTGTTGGTCGCGGAGGGGACGTCTTCCACTCATAAAAATATTTCGTTGGAGTATTTCTCATATGTCAGATGTGATTTGTTTACCGAGGAAAAATTAAGGATCTCTGTGGAACTTTTTTAAAATTCCAAATTGAATTGGAGTTTGTGAGAAGAGTGGGAAACCGGGGCACCCCAACAGCTTTATTTCAAGTTGAAATAAAGCTGTTGGTGGAGCAAAGACGAGAACAAACAGCTTGCGACTTACTTGAGCTGGACCACATTAGTGGGAGGCGAGTGCTCATAAGTTCACATCGAAGCGACTCCCTCCCCAATTTCCGGGACTAATTAATGTTAAGTGTAATTAAACTTTTTCCTTTTTATTTATTATTATCATCATTCTTCTATTTATGTTTTACCGAAGTAATACGTTGAAGCTGTTATATATTCTGCATGGCTATATTCAACCCTTTGTGATCTTGGCTTAATTCGCTCGCGTGATCAATCAATTTTTTAATTTGAAAACACTGAAGTTTCTATGACAGAATTAGTGGGCTCACATCCGTCAATTCAGATTAAAAGGGGAAAAGGTTAGTTTCTTATTTTTGCACAACAAAACTCACTATTCAATTCAACTGCAATAGCTGATTTTTCAACTGAATGTCAAGAGCGTTTTTTGGTTTCTCGCTCAATTTTGAGCCGATTCCACAATGATAGCCGAAGAGTTCTTAACTTGTTTGCCTTCTTTTTAGACGGGCAAATGTGAATCGAAGACAACCTTTTTCACTGAACCTGCGTCCTTCTGATTCCACCCAACGTGACAACATTCCAAACAGCAAATGGATGCTCAAAGAAGTTTAAAAATGTGAGTAAGCGGTTTCTTCTTGCAAAGTTTTAGTCATTTTACTCACCTTACGTATCCTTAACTGGATCTAGATAAAAGCAAAAGTTAGGTGAATCTCCACTGATGCATTCCGACAATGAATTTTTTAAACAAGAAGTAAATTGGTCAATGAAATTAAGCCACACATAACCGCCTCCATGCATATGAAGCGACTGTGTTCAAAGGGATCAACGTAAAAAGAGAGGTACAAAAAACCGATTCCTAAATGATCTAATTAGATTTTAACCTGCAAGCTCCCCTCTCTGATCCGGACTAGAGTCGGCCCCCCGAGTCGAGAAAGTTTACGTGCATGGCGGGTGCTAATTAGATTGAAACTTAAAATTAACGTTAATATTCGCTTGCTTGTGTTTTAAGAAATCGTTATTGATCAAAACTTGAAATCAAGAAACAATATAGTAACAACTGAACATGTAACTTTAAAGAAGAGATTCAATTTAAAATAAATTACCTAATTTATATTTTCTCCTACCCTTAAATTAGCACTACGTTTAGTTTAAAGAGAAATTGGGTGTGTTAGCCAATCAAATTGCAGAATTTGTAATTGGTAAGCTACAATCTTGCACAAAATATAATGGAAGAGCAAACCCCCATCCCCCCCAAATCAAGGATGACGCCGCGCGAAGGGCAAAAACGCGCCATTTTCCCATCCTTGATTTTGGGGGAGTGGGGGGTCTAGGTTTTCCATTTATTTTGTCCAAGATTGTAGTTGGCTACTTATAATTCTATCGGTATATACTTGAAAACCTTCCCTTGTGCTCCATTAAGAGATCTTGAAAAGAATTAATTGGAACTGTAAAGCATTGTTCACTCTTGTTTATAGTAAACTTTGCATAGAAATATTTTTGTCAGAAACGTCTTGCAGCGGTCTTAAATCACCTTTAGCAGTTGCGTGCAAAATAGAAAAGAAAGTCAACTTGTGGTAAACTTATCAACTTGAGACGCATTACAGAGAACCGCGCCCATCGATCAGCATTATATATTGAAGATTGGGGCAATATTGAAATCCAAACGTAGGTAAACATTTTTAATTAAGTCCCTAGCAAGCCTTTGTTCTCCGTTCACCATTCTGTATCCGGCTTAGCCAAGACAACTGGCGTCCGGTCGAGGAATTCAGTCGACAAGGTGCTCATTTGAACTAAAAAACAAACGAAAAATAAACATTAAAACTAATCAACTTAGTCACCGGATACGCATATTTTATTTCAGGCCGCATAGAACAGATGGGTGCATCCAGTTGTGCTTGGCCAATATGTGTAGTAGCCTTTCGTGCCCCTGGGTTTCGTGCTCGGCACCTTGTTTGTCAGTGTTTTCATCAGGAACGGAAACACTTGTCACTGATCAGAGTAGTAGAACATGTACATCTAATCCGTCGTTTTCTGGTATTATTAAGTTAATCCCTTCAATATCTACTCTAACATTTTGAAGTTGACTTTAAAGATCGTAATTTTAATCCCCAAAGTTATCTTCTTCGGCGAAACAACTTTTAAGACATGATCATGCAATGTTTTCTAATGTTCTACGAGGGAACAGTCCCCCCAAATTTAATATAACTGATAAATATGGAAAAATATTTCTAAAAGCGAAGTCATAATTACTTATCAAGTAAGTTTTTAGCTGGCAAGAAACTTTATTAGAGTGTAACTACAATGCCCAAAATGAACCTGACATCTTTTTGTTGAGATATATAAATTAGTATTAAGTGTAAAATTCGTAATGTACTAATAGACTCATTAATCATGCACTCAACAATAAAAGTGTGCACTTTTTATTGATCTATTTCGCTGTTTTCAAAGTCCTGGTGATTGGGACAACCTGTAGAAATCACTAGAATTTCTTAAAATGAAATCCTAGCCCTCCTAAACAAAAAGTCAGTCAAGGATTATGCAATGCTTTATTCCATAAGTTCTGTTGTTGACATTTTAATTTAACTCAAGTGCAATTTCGAGGAGCACTTTTTACGTTTGTGTATTTGCTAGATAAAGGTCGAAAAAGTGTTGAGTTTGGAAAAAAATCAACTGAGATCTCACCGAGATTTTAAAAAGGAATTGCGCTATCACGGTTCCCCCGTTCAGTTCATCTTAGCTTATCTATCTATACCGTCACTAATTGATAATGCATTCTCCAGACTCAGCATAAAAGGAAGGCAGAAATGTGGCTTCATTGCTGCGTTCTTATTATAGAAAGTAATAAAACCTTTCTATAGGGTATTATGCCTTTGGATTTACTAATTGCGCGTTGTGGTTATTGTTTAGTCAGAATATTGTTCTGCAAACAAGTTGACAAGAGTTGGACAAAAGAGCTAGACTAGTATAGTAGATAGCAAACAAAACATCTTTGTTTCTCCAAAGTGGTTCAGCGATATTGCAAGATTTCAAGTGTCATGACCTGAAAAAGTAATGTGGCTTACCTCAAGAAGCTGGAATTATTAAAGTTGGAATGTCTTTTTAATTTGTGCCGTCCGTCGGTTCTGAAAATTGTAATCAAGGAAAAAGGAGTTTGTCAGCTTTAAAAGTGACGTTTGTGCTGCGTTTTTCCAAGTTTTGGTGGCTTAATTACTCATCCCCTGGGAGCACATTTACAACTGCGTCACTAGGCAACGGCGCGGTTCAGAGAAGGAAGTGTGTGATAAACTGATTTGCAGCATGTGACTTCATATCAGACCTGCAAGACGTGCCATACCAAACGTATTTCTCTGCTGGCACTTGGCGCGTTTCGGATTTCATCCATCATAAGAAGCATGGTGATAAAAACTGACACGGAGTCTTCGTTCTTTCGTCTGAAACTCTCACACTACGGCATTTTTTTAGCTTAAAAACTTCGCTTGGGGGAAAAAAATTCTCGTTCACCACTCGCTGCTTCAACGTTGCAGAAGATATCCGTCTGGTACCAGGACTATGAAAATGCCCGCCGAAAATCGTAGACCCAAAACTTCCTTTTCCGTTTCGAAGAACACAATGTAAGTTTACTCTATATCTTTACATTACACAGTTTATTGTTACTTTGAGATGTTTCGTTCCAGCTTTTAGATGCACTTTTTCTTGTAGGCCTCTGAACTAGATAACCCTTGCGTGAAAATAGAGTACAGAAGGGTGTTTTAAGCTTTCTTTGAAGACAAATTGTTAGACGCGATTAATTGATGTTTATGTTGACCTACTCTGACCTTCTCATTTGTATCTTGCTTAACAGAAATATTTGTGCGTCGTATACTTGGGAAGTTAGCGTGTTTGCAGCTTTAAGAAATCTCACAAAATTTCTGTTTTTTTTTTTATATTGCAATATTGCTATGCGCGTTGTCGTTTTTAATTACATGAAAATAGCTCGCTAATTCACTTCAAGTGCTCTTCTGTTATCGCTGTCTTAAATGATATGTTTTATTGCAAGCACTTCTGCTATGCGTCTCTTTCAAAGTAGTGGATGTCATCGCCGAGCATCTTTAAGTCTTCGCAGTCTCATATCACAAGTTAACAGCAAGTACACCTTTCCATTGTACGTTGATTTGCACTAGGTTTTTTTAACGTAGAGCTTAACTGGGCTCAAAGGAGGCTAGCTAGGCCATTCCGGCTTTTGTAATGTTAATCATGCTAAACAGATAAAATTAGGGCTTCTAAACATTTACAAGCGGTCGAATTTTGCTTTGTGAGAGCTCAAGCTTTTTCTTGTTTGCCGTTAGCTTTTGTTAACTTGTCTCAGTAATATAACTAGAAAATTTGCGGACTGTTAGTGGTTATCCAACAAAGGTTGCTCAAGTAACTCAAGGGTAGTAATGTAATTGCCTCCTGATGACATGGTTTTGTTGTCCAGTGATTGTGTACAAAACGTCTTCGTTCTGGTTGTTATTAAAATATGCACGCTTGGGTAGCTTGTGATAAAAGCCATTACGAAAACTAGTTCGAGATCTCTGGTGAGCTATACATTGTAGGCTGTGAGGATTTTTTGTTGTGGTTGACGAATCTTTTCCAATAGCTATGTAGGTCTGATCGATCTTTTTAGTTTATTCAGTTGAATCTGGTTAACACTGCAAAATAGTCCATGTTTTTGCGCAGATCTAGAACGCGCATGAGAGAATAAAAAGAGATTCCGTTTGAATTCGAGTCAGTTTATAACATCCTAATAATTCATTTTGTCCGACCCCAGTAGAGACGAGATTGGCGTAAATTTGCGCACGCGTGCTAAGTACGCGTTTCCAGGTGGTTGGCGTCATCCATAAACGCTGCTCTGAATTCTGATTGGTTCATTACTTTATCTTTGTCAATTGGTTGATTCTTTAAGGGCTACCATGCTTTTGTTTTCCCTAGGAACATTTGTTTCAAAACAAGTCCCGTGAATTGTACACGCTTTCGTACTGGCTATAGGACTAGTGCTTGTCATTTCTTAATATAAGTCTTATACTGGTTTTGTTTTGTTTTAGTTATGAGACAAAAACCGATTTACATCATTTGATCTTATGGATGTTAAGAGGTTTTTGGCTGGATGGCTCGAACCTAATGCGATGATATTATGTTCAAACCCAAAGCAAGTGGACTAAAAAGAACGGTTCCATTTTTATTTGTCTTCATTGATAAGCTCTCCTTTAAAAATTGAGTGGCTGAAATTTTGTTCCTACAAAACGCACTTAAAACGTTTAGCTTTTACCTCTGGAGTGTCCAAGAACCCGAGCTTCTTGCTTTGGGCCGGCCGGTAGATCGACCCTCTAAAAGAGCTTTGTACAGAAAAGTGCGACAGATTTTCTTCTAAATCCTAAAATAAAACATTCATGAAATTTTTGCTTTAATCCCCCCTTTCCATTAAACTAGCAGTAGCAGACAAAAATATCGAAGATTCGCGTTCGAGTTATTATCATGTCTCGAAACTGTAATCCGATTTTAAGAGCGCAATATCAGAAGATCTGAGGTTTGTTTCAAGGTTGCTCGAATTGAACTGGATGGATATTTTTTGGGAGCAAATAGGTCGAATTTTGACAGCATGCTCAAAACATTTTAGACCTGGTAAGTTAAGCAACTTTCTGCATGACCCGTACTTGATAATCAAGCTTACCACAGGTCCCTCAGGATTTGACTTGCCGTAATAAGCTGTTCGTGATGTACGGATGAAATAAGCGTTCTTTTCTTTTCTGGCTTTAAGTCGATCTTACTTGTTTTCTATGCAACGATGACCTGTGTGTTTCCAAGCTACAGCGCACGGAATCTTAGAGTTGAGTAACTAAAACTAGGTGGCCTATGTAGCCGGGGTTCGAAAACGTGTCGGTGAACACAAGAGTCAACAAATTGAACTGAAAATAGCCCCTATAGAAAGAATCGGTATCTAATGCCTGTCAAGCCGGCGCACGTTCTTCTCAATGTAACGACTTGCAAACAAGCGAATGGCGACAATCTGACTAATTTATTCCTTTACTGTATCATTTCTTTCTGCAATGAATTACTACTTTCTTACCAAAATAAACTGATAAATTGGTCTGCTGCTCACTAAATCTGTTTTTAATGCTGCCTTTAGTGCTTGTAGCGTAGCTTCAAGTAACAAAATCTGGCCTAATCTCGTTCCCAGATCTCTTGTTGACGAGGCCGATAAGAGATCTGGGTACATACATATATACATACATAAACTTTATTTTAACTCGAATTTACAGAGTACCTATATTGAGCTAATATTTCCGAGCACGAGATTAAATCTGGTAAGCTGTCGATGTGAGAAAGTTTGGTTATGACGTAACCGAATTACGGAGCGCTTTCCATTCAACAAAATTTGCCTGTAGGAAATTCCACGTGTCAAACCACGTGTCCGGTTGCACAGACTCGACCCAAGCTACCACGTGTTTGGTTATTGTTCAGGTGATCAGGATACAAAATAGCGGTATTGGGAACAACAATTTTATCAAAAGACCATATTCACGATACCCGCCATCTTTGAACGCGCTAAAGGACTGATGGGGAAAAAAGGCAATGTCACGTGGTTTCTCAGGGGGCAAACAAATGATAAAAGCTGCCAATGCAAGAAATCACGGTCGAGTTTGTTTACTGTAGACAACAGAAAATAAAGAACTTTCCATAATAAAGTCGATAATGGCAAATTATGAGTAGAAGTAATCAATGTTACTTCTTTGGATGCTGTAGCGACCGTAGATATCCTCACAGCAAACAATAATGTCGTAAATCTTGTGGAAACTCGAAATGGCTTTTTGCTAGAAAATTAAATCGTCGTCATGTTTTGATAGCATAAACAAACTCGATCACGATTTCTTGCATTGGCAGCTTTTGTCATTTGTTTGCCCCCTGAGAAACCACGTGACATTACTTTTTTCCCATCAGTCCTTTAGCAAGTGCAAAGATGGCAGGTATCGTGAATTAGGTGTAATGGAAAGGGACATTTCGTTCCGGTCAACCAAAATGACCAGACCGGTCAAAGTGGACTACCTTCAAAGGTGGTACTAAATATTCCTGTCGGACCGAACCGAAATGGTCCGTTCCATTTTATGTGGGCGTCAGCTGTCCAACTGGGTAAGCGAAAGTGAAATGTCACATTTAACTGCATGGTGCTTTTTTGGTGGGAAATCGTGTGGCAACCCGCGTTTTTTGGGCGGGAAAACTGAATAGGAAACTGAAAATAACAACAAGAAAGCAAAAAAAGATGTCGTAAACATTGTAATCAGAAAGGAATTTATCGCTGCTCTGCGGCATACTATTTGCTGAATTTGATGAGGACAATGAGATATGCTTTCTAGAGTCCAGGCCCTGGTTGTTCAAACGTTGGATAGCGCTATCCAACGTTTGAGCAACCGGGCCCAGGTGACAACTTACTCATTTGCTTGTTTTATGAAAGCTTATTGTGGGGTATTGTGAATTGGCAGTTCACTTGCATAATCAGTTTAAGCTTATATTTAGCTCAGAAATTATTTATTTTGATAAATTTAGTCTGGCTAGCATTTGGTTTTGACTCAGGCTTAAATAATATCGTGCTTATAAAACGCAAGTTTGTCTTTCTCATTTGGATGGCGGGCGATGAGTTTAAATTGTACAAAGCAGTTCGTGGTCGATTCTTCTGATCTGCTGTACTTTCACATTTAATTGCTTGGTTTAGTGTGCTTTTTCCTAACTAGTCCACGTAGCTCGTGCACGTGGGCACGAAGAAAATCTAAAATCTTAAACTGTAACCATTCATTAAACCAACAGAAAAAAAACCTTGACTCACCTAGCAATTTTAATATACAAATACTGCCAGTCAACTACCTTACATATACATGGCACTCTTATTAAACGCGCAAGCCAATCTTTTGCATTCTGGTAGTTACACTGGATCAATGAAATACCTCTACGCAATTTGGAAAAGCCAAGAAGTGGATTTTTAGTTAAATTAAGTTTACTTCTCTTAGCTTTTGTTGTTAGTTTACTCATTTTAGAGTTCCAGTGTCACAGCTTATGTTTGAAACGGCTTGGAGTGTATGCGCGTAATTATTATTGTTATTGCCGGTTTTTGTCTTATGCTAAATTGAACGAATAATGGTTGTTTTAAAGTAAAGCATTTCTACCTGAATAGAACTAAGTAAGATTGTTTTTTGCGTGCTCGGGATTGAGTCAACTTCATGTCACCCAACTCAAGGTCAGCATTATAAATCAGTCTCGTATTTCGATATGACTACGAGAGGCAATAAAAATGTTGTTTTCGAAGACAAGAAAAGACAAGAATGGCGCTGAAAGTATTATGCATGGATTTCTGATCTGACAATAGTCTTGTCGGCACTGACTCCATATCAAAGTGATTAGCAATTGTTTTTCTTGATTACTAATTTGCATTGTGAGTGGAACCTTTTTGTTTCCTTGGTCGCCCTAGATTCAAATATTTGTTGGTGAATAAATGTTAAGCGTTAAGATAAATGGCACGCGAGTGAAATCTGTAGGAAGTACCATGGAAAGGTCTTTTAAATGACGGAATATGACATAGCGAGGTAAAGTTATAAGTACCTTATTCTATTTTAGGTTTAAAGTGACTATTACGCATAGCACTTTTCTCTACGCATAAGGGCCAAGCTCTCAAAGCTCAATCCTTAACATTGCTTAAGATTAGTGGACGGATTTTTGGGTACTTAATGGTATAAGTTGATGGAGTGTTTGTTGACTTAGAGAGTTTAATCTTGCTCTTTCATGATCCAAAGATCAAAGTTTTTTTCACATTTTTCACATTTTCTAACATAAAAAGCTTAGCTAGCATCAAACACTGTTATTAATAGATTCCATTTAGTAAATGGTCACAGTTTATGATTTGGTCAAAGAAACTGGGGACCACCAAACTCCTTTTGGACCGAGAGAGAAACAAATTTTAATTCATGTGGACCTCGTGAGAAATCCTGGCCGCTAGCAAGAACTTTCACTTGTTGAGAATCCGCTGGAATCGCTATACTTTAGCACTGAAAAGTATGTATCCCTAATCGGCGACGTCATAAGCGATAGACTCTTGTGAGTATACGTGAACGTTTAAAATAATCAGATATGAACAATTATCTACAAACTATTAGCTTAGTCCAGCAATTGTTATAATAATTTTGTTGTTGTTAGGAAGTACCGATTAAAAGTTAAAAATAGTGATAGAATAAGAACTGAATTATCAGGTAGAGTCTATTTTAGTTATCGACTGCGAAATGAAGCAAAATGTTTAAGATGATTGCGTTCAAAATGGTGTTTGTTCAGCAGAGTAAATTAGTTTAAAACATCGGCAGCAAAGACATAATTTTGTTTTTTGACAAACTCTCTAGCACTCGTTTGAAAATCCGATACATAAATGAAATGTTGATCAAAGGAATCGAAGTGATCGCGCCTCTGCTGCGTCGGTAATTTCCATGCTCACTCAGAGTATTTCTTTTCGCTTGCTGTGAAGAGCAATCTCAGCTATTTCATAGCAATACTTCACCCAGGAGAAGTTCAAAAAGCACCCTAAGCCCATGGGTTATACCGCCTCCATAAAGCCGAAGACAAACACAACATTTTTCTTTTTCAACCTTACCATTCCTTTTTAGAATTGACCTTCATTATGCAATTTCAATTTCTCTTAGATCCCAGGGCCACACGGTAAAGGACGATTTGGAGGTGTGGATGTCGTTTCAGAAGCACCGCACTGTTCCGCCGTTCCCTGGTCATGCTGGGGGCACTGCCAGGAGCTGGCCAAACTCAAGACCAGCTGGAGGTATGTGCAAGCTATCCTCTTCGTTCGGGACACATTTTTGTCATTTTTCTCCGAACGGAAAATGAACGACGGATCTGAGCTCCCTCAAAAGGTTGCTAAGTTGGACCCTACCGTTCTTCAGTCATTTACCATTCTAAAAGTCCTCTGATAAGACCGGGGGGGGGAGGGGGGGGGGGCTTTTCTATTTCAAGCACGTTTGGGGGGGAAGGGGGTTGGAGGGGGGGGGGGGCCCTAGGGGTATTTTGAAAGAGGGGGGGGGGGGCGGGGGCTTTTCTATTTCAAGCACGTTTGAGGGGGAAGTGAGTTTGATGGGGAGGGGAGCCTTAGGAGTTATTTGAAAGAGAGGCTTAATAGAGTCCTTACCATCATTTAGCTCTCTGTAGGGTCTGTAGGACGGTCACCGTGTCTTTCTTAGAGATAGAGAGATCTGTCTTTCGGTTCCAAAGATACAGTTGAACCTCCATGTACGACCACCTCTCTTAAGCGACCACCTCCCATAAGCCATTTTAAGTATTTGCATTTTGGGTGGTTGCTTACGGGAGGTTCGAATGTACTGAACACTTCATACAACTGCAATGCACGTTACACCTCTTACACCCCTATACTACGGACACCGCCCGTATTAAAGCAGTTTCACTGTGCTAATAGCCGTTGAGCGTGGGCTTAACGTTACCTTCTCTCAAATCAGCGGCATTTACAGTAGGTAACATTTGATCTGATATTCTCTTTTGAAATAAACAAAATTTCAGTGAAGTTGCAAGAAGTTGCTGCTCTTGCAGCTATAACATTGTGCGCAATGGCTGCGAAGCATTGTTCGGTCAGGCTTTTCACTGCCTTTCTATCTGCCGAACAAAGGGAAGTAAAAACCGATAATGCATGTGTGCACTTTGCAGTACTTTTAAGGCATATCGTGAAATGTACAGTGCTATAAATTGCTGGTTTAAATTTGCAATCGCCAGCAAAATATAGCCTCTTCTCGAAGTACTCTTACTTTTTTACTTCTACTGAAAATGTTAACCGAATTACACGATCGTCTATACTCGAGCTGTACGCGAGACTCGGATCCTTCACGGACAGTAGTTTTAGCCCAAAACGGCCGGGTTTGCAGCTACCTCAACATGCATTGTGCTGTAAACATAACGTTTTGCATTCGATGGCAACTTTATTTTAAACTTAAGCTCGCGCATGACTTTGTATCGCGTAATTTGTTTTCGAATGGCGAATTTCGCTCGTTAGTGTCCCATGTGCAAATTGATGAAAACAGCCCACTGAACCACCTCCTGGAAAGTCTCGGTCAGAAATGAAAAGTAATCCTTTGAATATACGTTACATTATAGTTATATAAAACAACCAGGCAGATAGGTCTTTGCACTATCATCTGCTTTTCAGTGGGCGGCACAAGGTTTTGATGAAATTGGTAACAATGGTGTTATTTTGAACAGTTTCCACTCTGGAATTGGGCTTCATCAATCGGCGAGCAGTGTCAACCACTGAATCACGTGCCAGAGGGCTTCCACCAATCACAGACAAGCCTAGGCCAGGAAACAGAAAAGTTGGATTAAGAGGTGGTAGACAGGAAAAACAACAGCTCTGTTGGGCCAGAAGTTGGGCAGGAGTCCGCGCAGAACAAACAAACGTTCACGCTAAAGGTTGCACGGTTTGTACTACGCATAATAGAAGAAGTCACCTGGGCCCTTTGAAAAACTCAGGCTTGAAAATTGCTCACAAAAACAAAGTGTTAGCGATGAATGAAAAAGAGGCATTGTTATTTAAGAGACTAAAAGGAATCTACGCAAACTCTACGGAAAAGACTTTACGGGTTCAGCGACTTCAGAATAATATTAATTCATTACAGTCGAGAACTCTTCACTCAGAAATAGACTATAGTTTAAGAGAGTTTAAAAAGAAACAAGAAGATGACAAGAGGAATAGATCAGAACTCAAACGAGTCCGAGAAAGGTTTTCAAAGGATAGAGAACACCGTCGTAAGAGTTCTTATGTGAGTTTAAGCGCACTAGAGTGTCCACAAGTTTCCCGGCAGGCGTATGGGCTCCCCGAGGATGGCCATGAATATAGACAGTCTAGCGTGATGCAACATGCTCACGAAAAGCTGCGTGATATTTGGAAAAATGCTATGAAACGTGCTGTCATTGTCGATAAAATGATAGGTGTAATGAAGAAAGAGAAAGAGCCGTTACCTCAGATTAAAGTACGCAGAAAAAGCATGGCTCAAAAAGAAGCAAGGTCCCCCAGTCCAGTAAAAGAAGGTAGGCCTGAGTTCTGGTTAATTTAGGCCCCGTCGACACCAACGCGTTTTCGTTTGAAAACGCATATGCATCGATGCCTTTAGGCCTTCCGTCTACACTAATACGCTTAGCGCGTTTTCATCGAAAACGCATCTATCTGAAAACGCTGTCGAAAGTGGATAAAAAAGAAAGCGCATGACCTATCATATTAGTGTAGAGGGTCCAAAAACGGTCGAAAACGCATCAAGGCGAAAACGAGGACCGAAAATATTGCATGCGCGTGTGTTTGTAGCATACACATCGTTTTCAAACGTTTTAGTGTATGGCCGAAAACGCATCAAAACTGGGGACACAAATCGATCGATGTGTTTTCGATGACAACGGAACGCATACTTTTGAAAACGCATTAGTGTGGACAGGCCCTTAGTTTTCCACAGTTGCCACTACTTTGACCAGAAACTTAAGTTATATGTAAGGAGTCGCATCAATGAGATATATTTCCATATACAATAAAGACCTAATAGCTGAAACTTACAGTACACTTGTTGACGTCCACTTACGTGTAATACAAAGTTTCAGACATTGACATTCCTGTCAGTTTTTGTACTTGGGATGAATATTTAAAACACTTAGCAAATTTCCTGAGATATCTAATATCAAAAATTGTCCAAAATCCTATTTCTAAATAATTCCTCGGTCTAAGATAGCTTAGGGCTCCAAATCCGCGCAATGGCCCTCTTCCATTTGTATTTCATGGATATTTTCCTTGGCCTAGAGTTTTCCGGGGTTAAATTAAGACTAATTCTCACTGTCAATGATCATTTTTGTAGCGCTCCAAGAGAGAGACTCCATGGAAACAGTGAATCAGCTTGAAGTGGTTCTTGGAGAAATAGATGCTATGTCCACAGGTACGACTCACAAAATATGCTACAAACTTTTTATCCAGCCAATAAGTCCCGATATTATACGAGGCTCCGCGTGATTTTCGAAGCGAACTATAACACTGCTTAAAATTCTCATTTGTGGTTGAAAATAACTGGTTGATTGTACTCGAGTGAATTTCTCGAGGCGTCTCATCTTTGGAAAATCATGGTAGTGACGAATTCACTTCATCTGTGTTCCACTCTCCCACCGAAGTAACGCTGTATTTTTGAAAAAACGAATCCCTCTTACCTCTTACTATACTCTACAGTCTATCGACCCTCAGAAAATCCTTTAGTCAGTCATANATGTGTTTTCGATGGCAACGGAACGCATACTTTTGAAAACGCATTAGTGTGGACAGGCCCTTAGTTTTCCACAGTTGCCACTACTTTGACCAGAAACTTAAGTTATATGTAAGGAGTCGCATCAATGAGATGTATTTCCATATACAATAAAGACCTAATAGCTGAAACTTACAGTACCCTTGTTAACGTCCACTTACGTGTAATACAAAGTTTCAGACATTGACATTCCTGTCAGTTTTTGTACTTGGGATGAATATTCAAAACACGGGGCAAATTTCCTCAGATATCTAATATCAAAATTGTCCAAAATCCTATTTCTAAATAATTCCTTGGACTAAGATAGCTTAGGGCTCCAAATCCGCGCAATTGCCCTTTTCCATTTGTATTTCATGGATATTTTCCTTGGCCTAGAGTTTTTAGCGGTTAAATTAAGACTAGTTCTCACTGTCAATGATCATTTTTGTAGCGCTCCAAGAGAGTGACTCCATGGAAACAGTGAATCAGCTTGAAGTGGTTCTTGGAGAAATAGATGCTATGTCCACAGGTACGACTCACAAAATATGCTACAAACTTTTTATCCAGCCAATAAGTCCTGATATTATACGAGGCTCCGCGTAAACGAGGCTCCGCGTGATTTTCGAAGCGAACTATAACCCTGCTTAAAATTCTCATTTGTGGTTGAAAATAACTGGTTGATTGTACTCGAGTGAATTTCTCGAGGCGTCTCATCTTTGGAAAATCATGGTAGTGACGAATTCACTTCATTTGTGTTCCACTCTCCCACCGAAGTAACGCTGCATTTTTGAAAAAACGAATCCCTCTTACTATTCTCTACAGTCTATCGACCCTCAGAAAATTCTTTAGTCAGTCATACACCGAGTCAGTGTGTAAGATTGTCAGTCAGCCCGGTATAAGTCGTTAGTTTGTCAGTTAGTCCGACAGAGAGATATAGTTATTTACTTCATTAGTCAGACAGACGTTAGACCCGACGGTTTTTCACTCAGACAGTAGGTTCGTAAGACAGTTTATCAGCCAGACAGTAAAGCGGTCAAGTCAGACAAGGACAGACAGACAGTCAGTTCTACAGTCGACGGAACCAGTCAGTTAGTGAGTAAACTACACAAATGGATGGGTCAATCACTCTCCTCTGAGCTCTTTAATGTTTTTTGTTTGTTATTGTAAGTTAGTGACATTTGTTTCATTTCAATTGCAGTGATATCAGAATCAGATGAAGATCTTACGGACACTGAAGAAGAATTTGATTAACGTTCTCCTCCAATATTCATAATATAAAAGTTAAAACATACAAAACTGTGCGCAAGCTTAGCAAAGGAACGTCAATTAACTTTTTACCTATGTCTTTTCCGTATCATCGTATACCAAGGTTTGAAAACTGTTCTAACTTGCCCAGAGTATTTACTAGGAATATTATTTGTTATAAGGCCAACAGGTTTTCAACATATAACCGATTGTCTCTAGGGATAAACAGATGACAAATTATTTATTTAAATATAAATAAAGAAAGATTAATTGATTGAGTTAACTGTTGATTTGGTGTTACTAACAGAAAAATGTTCAGTTGAAAGGGCGGGGTTCTTCCTTCAATTCCCAGGGCAGATTTGCTCGAACGGGAAACCAGCCCGGCTCGAGTGATGTGAAAGCTACCCGCCTCGTTCGGGACACATTTTTGTCATTTATCTCCGAACGAAAAATGAACGACGGGTCTGAGCTCCCTAAAACCATCGCTAAGTTGGACCCTACAGTTCTTTAGTCATTTACCATACTAGAAATCCCCTGATAAGCCGGGGGGGGGGTATCTATTTCAAGCACGTTTGAGGGTAGGGGAGTTTGATGGAGAGGGGGGCTTTAGGGCTTATTTGAGAGAGGGGCTAAATAGAGACCTTACCATCATTTAGCTCTCTGTAGGGTCTGTAGGGTGGTCACCGTGTCTTTCCAAAGATACTGTTGAACCTCTATGTGCGACCACCTCTCGTAAGCAACCACCTTTCATAAGCGACCACCTTTCCAAAACACCAAAACTTTCCCAGTCAAAGGCTAACAGTTGGAACCTCTCGTAAACAACCACCTCATGTAACCGACCACGATCACTTTTTGGGCCTGAAAGTTAATGATTTTCTATTGTTTTTAAGCTCTTGTATGCGACCACTTGACGCATTCTCTAATCTCTATGTTAGCTGTGTGCACTGTGCTACTTTGAATATACGAAGAACTTTAGTAACAACATGAAACTACTCATGGTGTAACTTACTGAATGCAATAAATTATCTTCCAATTAGTAGATGTGCCCGGACCTCTTCTCGGAAGAAGCCCCATGTGGTTTTTAAGCGACCACTTTAAGTCTTTGCATTTTGGGTGGTTGCTTACGGGAGGTTCGAATGTACTAAACACTTCATACAACTGCAATGCACGTTACACCTCTTACACCCCTGTACTGCGGACATCGAAGCCCAGTCCGTATTAAAGCAGTTTCACTGTGCTAATAATAGCCGTTTAGCGTGGGCTTAACGTTACCTTCTCTCAAATCAGCGGCATTTACAGTAGATGACATTTGATCCTATATTCTCTTTTGGAATAAACAAAATTTCAGTGAAGTTGCAAGAAGTTGCTGCTCTTGCAGCTACAACATTGTGCACAATGGCTGCGAAGCATTGTTTGGTCAGGCTTTTTACTGCCTTTCTATCTGCCGAACAAAGGGAAGTAAAAACCGATAATGCATGTGTGCACTTTGCAGTACTTTTAAGGCATGTCGTGAAATGTACAGTGCTATAAATTGCTGGTTTAAATTTGCAATCGCCAGCAAATATAGCAGCTTCTCGAACTGCTCTTTCTTTTTTACTTCTACTGAAAATTTTAACCAAATTTCACGATCTTCTATACACGAGCTGTACGCGAGACTCGGATCCTTCACAAACAGTGGTTTTAGGCCAAACCGGCCGGGTTTGCAGCTGCCTCAACGTGCATTGCCCTGTAAAACATAACGTTTTGCATTCGATGGCAACTTTATTTTAAACTAAAGCTCGCGCATGACCTTGTATCGCGCTATTTGTTTTCGAATGGCGAATTTCGGTCGTTAGTGTCTCATGTGAAAATTGATGAAAACAGCCAACTGAACCACCTCCTGGAAAGTCTCGGTCAGAAACGAAAAGTAATCCTTTGAATATACGTTACATTATAATTATATAAAACAACCAGGCAGATAGGTCTTTGCACCACCATCTGCTTTTCAGTGGGCGACACAAGGTTTTGATGAAATTGGTAACAATGGTGTTATTTTGAACAGTTTCCACTCTGGAATTAGGCTTCATCAATCGGCGAGCAGTGTCAACCACTGAATCACGTGCCAGAGGGCTTCCACCAATCACAGACAAGCCTAGGCCAGGAAACAGAAAAGTTGGATTAAGAGGTGGTAGACAGGAAAAACAACAGCTCTGTTGGGCCAGGAGTTGGGCAGGAG